ACAATGATTCTTTCTTACAGAATTGCTGCAATAAAAAAGCATCTAGCAAAAACAGAATTTATTCTGCTTTTATGAAAAAGTACTACCTTGGCTATTCAAAGTTGATGGAGGAAAAAATCACAGTAATTTGAGGAAAGGAGTTAGGAATATAAGAGAGAGGTACATTCCTCTTCCCTGGTTCAGTGGCAGGCACTTATCAATTGTACCATGGATCCTAAAATTAAACTAATAAGACCCATGGGGGGAAAAAAAAGGTCCAAATAAGGCAGCAATCTTGTGAAGAGAATAGAAGTATTAAAGAAGAACAAATTATTACTACTGTGTTGACATGTTAAAGAAATGACCTTTTGAAAAAAAATCTGTCTATATTGGTGACTTTCAAGACCATCTATGTGCAGAGATAAACGATGAAAAGGCTAGCAAGTAGAGCCCTGGAGAAACATGTACTGACCTGAACTACTGTGTGAAAGACTAAGACTGGATTAAAAAATATATGTATCTCTCAGTTCATAAGCTTTTCTACTGAGGAACTCCTTCCAGAGCCCAACATCACAGCAAGACCTGATTATAGAGATCTCTTGTCCAACGCTCCCAGAATTGACTCTGCTCTGAGCTCACATGAGTGTTCTCAGGGCTTTAGCTAGCTGGGTTTTGAGAGACCCAAGGATGGAGACCATAGTTCTCTTGGCAACCCATTCTACTGCTTGACTCTCATTATGGGCAGAGTATTTTCTATCCCAAGTCTCTTTTGTTTCAGTTTAAGCTGTAGTCACTTGTTCTCCTGCCATCTATCATTGCTGAGCCCAGCTCCATCTCTTCACTTCCTTAGAGATTCTGAAAGGGAGCTGTTAGGTCTTCCCAAAGTCTCTTCTTCTGACTGAAGAAGTTCAGTCCTCTCAGCCCTTCAACATCAAAGTTTAAAAAGGTAATTCTCTGTAAGGATAACACAAATTCAAGTATTTATTACAGAAGTGATGACCTGTAAGACAACAACCTAATAATTAAACAAGCATATATGGTTTGTGTGGCCTTGATCTCAGTGAACGTTAGCACCTGATGGAATTAAACCTCACTCATAAGCCAGAAAAAAACAGTCTATCTTCTGTGCTTACAGTGAGCGCTTTTTCAAATGGTGTTTGAAATGCTCTACCAAGGAAACTGAATAAGCAGTAGCTGTGTACCTACCAAGAAATCACATGGTGCACTTCATTAATGCATGGGGTATATTCCAAAATAAAACTTGGATCAAACTTCAGTCCTCAAGGGAAGAAAAGTAAATGAGCAACTCTCTTGTAGGGCATTATGACATTAATTTGTAGAAACAATAATAAACTATGGGCCAAGATGTACAAAAAGCAGATAGGTAAAACTTCTTGATTGTGTTAAGGGTAACATGAATTAAACAACTGAAACCAACTCCTTCGGATTATTTAGTACACACCAACGGGCAACATTAAATGCCTTCCCATAAGCATAACACTGGATTTTCATTTGCAGGAGCATATGGTAACATTTGCTAAATTGTCATTCTACAACAGGTGCTCTTTTCTATGAGGTAACGCTACCTGCCCTTTTAATGGACAAAGTCATAAAGTAATAAAATTGTTTCCAAGGTAAATGGGACCACCCATTCATTTAACCGCAATGTAAAACGTAGAGATATCAAATTGCAGGCGTATCAGTGACTAACAAATTATGGTCACGCACTACTTTGATTTATGCCTAAGTATCGCCAGAATTTAGACATTTAAGGAAAAGGTCACACATTTAATCTCTACATCACAGCCATCGAGACAGTTGAGAACCCATGATTTATTATCAGATGTCACAATCAGTATGGAGTGGCTTGAATGCTTGGTGTATGGCTTGCATGCGGCTGGCTCGTGGCCTGTGTTTGTGGCTCACATGTGGACTAAATATATACATACAATTTTTATTTATTTATTTATATATTTTTTACCAAAGAAGGAAGGGATGACATCCAAAGGGACATGGACTAGCTTGAGAAGTGAGCCCAGGAGAACCTAATGAGGTTCAAAAAGGCCAAGTGCAAGGTATTGCACTTGGGTTGCTACAATCCCATCTATGTGTATAGACTGGGAGAAAAACTCATTGAGGCAGCCCTGAGAAGGACTTGGGGGTCCTGGTGGTCGAAAAGTTGGACTGGAGCCAGCAGTGCACACCCGCATCACAGAAGGCCAACTGTGTCCTAGGCTGCATCAAAAGAAGGGTGGCCAGCAGGGAGAGGGAGGTGATTGTTGCTGTCTGCTCTGTCCTCATGAGGCCTCATCTGGAGTACTTCATTCAGGCCTGGGGCACTCAGCACAAGAAAGACGTGGAGTTGTTGGAGCAGGTCCTGGGGAGGCTGCAAAGATGATCAGAGGGCTGGAGCACCTCTCCTGTGAAGAAAGGCTGAAGGAGCTGGGCTTGTTCAGTCAGGAGATGGCTTTAAGGACACTTTGTGGTGGCCTTCCACTACTTACAGGGAGCTTAGGAACAAGATGGAGACCAACTTTTTACAATGGCAGATAGTGACAGGACAAGGGGGAATGGTTTTAAGAAAGAGATGAGATTTAGATTAGATGTTAGTGGGAAACTCCTCACTGTGAGGGTGGTGAGGAACTGGAACAGGTTCCCAGAAAGGCTGCGGATGTCCCATCCCTGGATGCATTAAAGGCCAGGCTGGATGGGTCTCTTGATAGCCTGGTCTGGTGGTTGGCAGCCCTGCTCATGGCAAGGGGTTGGAACTGAATGGTCTTTAAGGGCCCATCCAACTTGAATCATTCTATGGTTCTGTGAGACTATCTAGCATTGTAGGATGCACGGTATGTCACTGTAGTGACATGAAGACACCAGTTCCCAGGAGCATGGCCTACAAAGGCAAATTGTGCAAATTCTGTAAACAGAGCTAACCCTTTAGTTCCTTCATTCTATCATCAGCAATAGAGGTCCTTGCTTCAAACCTACTACTCACCCACAATTTAGCAAGATAACAACTGTGTTAAAGCTGTCCTCTAATTTTGTAATCTTCTGTTTTGCATGTGACTTTGTAGCAGATTTCAACACTCAGTTTCTATGGAAAAAATCAGAGCATCCACTGGATTGCACAGTGCTAGGAGAACTAGGCCTGTCAGCAACAATCAGTGCAATAAGTGGACAAGGCAGCGCTGCAGAAACCATCAGCACAGTTCATTTCTTATACATAAGATTCCTTCAAGCAGGACTGAAAGAGAGAGTTAAGGATGGAAATGGAGAAAGGAATGGATGGGACTAAAGAAAGGAAATGATAAATAAGGAGGCGAAAGGATTAGCAGTTGTAATAATGCTGTTGTTTACTGGTACCTTTATAAATGTACTGGGTTGGGTTTTTTCAGTTTTCTTTTTCAAGAACCAAGAACATACTAATAGTCAAATGGTAATTTTCTGCACCTTTGATGTATGCTTTACAAATACACACTGACAGCCATAGCCCTGAAGAGCTTGCAGTCTGAACAGATGAGGCAAATAAAGGGTAAAGGGCTCAGACAGAGCTGACTTGCCCAAGGCTACACGACTTGAGAGTGATGGACTGTACAAATCTTTTTCTGCTGTGGCTGTTGCTTCACATTGTATTTTCCACAGTAAAAATACATAGCACAGTTAGCACTGCTGTGAAAAAGCAAGCAGGTCTATGGCTTGTTTGCTACTTGTTTTTTTGCATGGGTGTGCCATTAACATTACTGTCAGGTGCTGGATAATGCCCCAAAAAACCAGGATCAATCCCTCTTTCCTCGACACACAGCAAGTGCAACAACACAAGAGGTATAAAATGTGACATGTCTCACTCTTTGGCAGGCTTGTATTCTGGCCCAGCACATTCTGGCAGGGAGAAGCTACTTGGGAGTTTTCCCTGAGCAGTTCCAGATCACTTTTCTGCTACCATTGGTCCACCACTCTCTCCAATTGCAGAAAGTGGGACTCATCAGGGCTTCTCAGGTTCCTCCAAAGCACTCACCTGCTCCAGACCTGCCATTGTTGGTAGGTTGCATCACTGCCAGAACCACCCATGGAAGAGCAATGCTAGCAAGCCCTCAGGTGGGATGAGAGTGACGCCTGTCAGCAGCAGCAAAACAGAACTGGAGATCCCTGCTAGTCACATACCTGTTGTACCCACATTCCATCTGTTAGAGCTAACCAAGGACAGCAAATAAGCCAGTCTTGTTCTCCTCACCTGCTAACTTTGGGAGCAGGCTGCAGCTGTGAAGTTCACAGTCAGCCCAGCACAGACCTCCTTCAAAACCCAAGGACTTCCGTTGGTGAAGCTGCCCCGCAGGATGTAAAGGAGCTGTGATGTTCCCTGGGTGTGGGAAGCACCCTGCCACCTCCATGCCCTCTGCCTTGACAAGCAAGGCTTCCATTTAATCTTCAGATCAGCCTCGCTAAGCAGAACATAAGCATGACTGGTAAAAGAAGAGTTCCCACAGATTCTCATCTCTCACGTTAGCGTTCACTCCCAACAGCTCTTCCGTTATCTGAAGCCGTCCCCGAAATTACTCAAAACCTCTGAACACGTCACTGGGTTTTACCCGTGCTCTATTTTAGTACCAGGGCAGACCCGAGACCCATAAAGACCTCGTGGGCATACGAAGGCGCAGTGCCTGCCGGCAGATCGTGCCCTCGATGGTTCTCTTATTTTCAGTCATTAAGCGTCCCACGGTACAAATAAAGTGTAAGGAATACCCCGGAGGAATGACACGCTCTCCCTCCCCCTCTCCTTACTCGGTATTTCTTTTCCACGTACGCTGCCCGCAATGAAACAGCGCGGAAAGCGAGCCACGCCGCATCCTGCCGCCGAGTCTCCAACGATCAATCTCGGGGACAGAATTCTCCTCCGCAAAGCAACATCAGAGCGTCAGAAACGTAAAACCACCGCTTCCTTTGTTCGCCGAGGAAAGTCCCTCTGCCACTCCGTATCTCCCGCAGGATGGACGGAGGGATCGCGGAGAAGCGGTCCCGCTTACCTTCATGGTGCCGCCGAACGGCGCCGCTCCCCGCGCGATGCGATGCGATGCGGACCGCGCGCCGCCCGATCCCCACACGAGCTCCGCCGGGGCCGGGACTGCTGCTGCTGCCGGGGCCGCCGCCGCCGCTCGCGGGCTCCGATTGCATCAGCGGGCGGAGGGAGGGAGGGAGGCGCGCGCGGCGGCGGGCGCTGGAGAGCGGCGAGGGGCCGCGACCGCCCCGCCTCGCTGCCGCCTCAGGCGCGCACACCTCCCGGCCGCCCCGCCCGGCCCGGTCCCGCGGCGCTCACCGAGGGCAGGCAGCCGAGCGGCGGGATGGACGCGTGTGCCGAGGGCAGCGCCGTCGTTTTGTCCCTTCTCCCTTAGCAAGCACTGAGAAATTCGCGCTCTGAGTCATTTCCTCCCGCTCGCGCCGACAACGAGCACCTCGCAGCCGGCATCGCGCGGCAGCTCCCCCGGCCTTCCGCTTCCCACCGGCGGGGAACCCCGCAAAGAGCCACGGGCCCGCCTTGGTTGCAGCCAGACGGCATCGCCACGCGTCCCAGGGTGCGCCCTGCGGCCTCCTCCTGCCCCCCGAGCCTCGCTACAGCTCTACCAGCGCTGCCCTTTCTGCTCGGGCACCCGTCAGGCAGGTCGCCAGCAGCTGCGGGCAGGGCAGTGAAATGGCAGAAGGCCGACCTACTGCTAGGGCACCTGTACTACGGGGTGTTTTTGAGAGAAAACCCCAGCGTAATGTTCACAGTGTGCTTCCTTTCATCTCTACTGATCTTGCAGTTCAGTCTTTTCATGCATTACTGTTTTCATAAACGTTTTCTCCCTCTGATCTGCCTGAGAGTAGTTGTAGAATGCTGTTCCGTTTCAGTTCTGCTGTCAGAAGTGTCAGGTTCTGCCCAGTGATGTATGGGAATTCTCTCTTGTGTGGTGCTGGAGACCGGTTATAAAAACAGCAGTAAATCTTATATCTACCACTTTTTTTTTCAGCCAGGTAAGAAAGTGCCATTCAACAGAATTACAATCATTTTTGATTCCAAAGAAACACAGGTAAATGATGCCACCCAAAATAAAAGCTCATGGGAACAGTGATGGCTGTTTAGGAAAGAAGAGAGATGAAATAAAGGATGCAAGGCAGAAAGGTGAAGCGGTAAGGAAGCATCAAACAGATGCGTATCATCTAGTGGAGGGCCACAAAAATGACCCAAGGGATGGCACACCTCCCCTGTGAGGACAGGCTGAGAGCTGGGGCTGTGCAGCCTGAAGAAGAGAAGGGTCTGGGGAGAACTTTCAGTATCTCAGGGAAGGCTTTGAGAAAGAAAAGGACAGACTATTTAGCAGGGTCTGTTGGGATAGGGCAAAGGAAATGATTTCAAGATAAAAAGAGGGGAGATTTGGATTGGATTGAACAAAAAAGGTTTTTACAATAAGGGTAGTGAAGCACTGGCACAGGTTGCCCAGAGAAGTGGTGGATCTCCATCCATGGAGATGCTCAAGGTCAGGCTGGAGGGGGTTCTGAGCAGACTGATCTGCTACAGGTATCCCTGTTCACTGCAGGGGAGTTGGACTGGATGGCCTTTGAAAGTCCCTTCCAACTCAAACGATTCTATGATTCTGTGATAACTGTTGTTCAGTGCTCATGAGGCAATTCAATCCATTCACCATCAATTAACTTCAGATTCCAAGCACAACGTAAAAACAACAATACTGTGACAGTCCAAAAGTGCGTTTAACCCAGTATGCTGCCTCTGGTGATGCGCAGGATCAAGGCCTACAGAAGCTACATGAACAGAACAGGCAACTAGGGGTATTTCCTGATAGTCTCCTAGCCTCAAGATGTTTGTGCCACAGCAGTTTTCTAAAAGACGGATTCATGCTTAATGGTTGCACATGGGTTTTCCTTCTGTTAATTTATCCATTTTTCTTTGAACACGTGTAAATTTTGATATCTACGATATCTAGTGTTAATGAGTTTCACAGCTTACCTCTGTTCTGTGGAAAAAAATACCTCATTTTGCTTTGTTTTCAACTACCCACTGGAAAATTTCACATGAAAAATTCCCTTCTCCCTTCTGATATTGTGAGAAATACTATCAACAGAAAAGAAGCTGAAAATATTCATTTGCTCTGTGCCATTTGTGATTTTACAGACTGCTCTTGAATCCACTGTTAGTCATCTCTTTTTCCAGATGAAGTGTCCCAATCATTTTAGTCTAAATATAAGAATAGTTACATGCCTTTGATCTTTCCTTAGGTTGGGCACATGAACTAGATGCAAATTGAAATTGCAGGTCACCAGGTTTCCTCTTCACATTTTCCTTTCTATTTATTTTCCTAATAGTGCCTGATGTTCTGTTTCCTAATCCAACTGTTCCTGAGCACTGAGCTGAACTGATATTTTTACAAAAATAATTCCAAGGTCATCTAAGATCATTCATAATCCATCACTGTTTCTATAAACTTAGCTTTTGCTTTTCTTTTTTTTTTTTAAACTATGTGCATCCTTTTATATCCTTACTTCCTTTGTATCCTTATATCCTTTTGTTATATCTTTGGATACAAGGAAGAAGTCTTTAACAGTGAGGGCAGTGAGGCACTGGAACATGTTGCCCAAAGATGTGGTTGGTGCCCCACCCCTGGAGACTTTCAAGGCAAGGCTGGATCAGACCTTGGACAACCTGATCTAGCTGTGGGTGTCCCTGTTCACTGCAGGGGAGTTGGACTAGATGACCTTTAAAGGTCCCTTGCAACTCTAAGGATTCTATGATTCCGTGATATTTACAGACATAATTACCTGCTATTTTGACATACCTGTACTCAGCTCCAGAAAGTCCTGTATCTCTTTGCAAATAAATCTTGTCTTGTTGAATTCTTTAAGACTATTAACCTGAAGGATTTAATTTCATCAGCAAACGTTGTTTCTACTCTATTTGCCTCCATTTCCATATCATTTTCTCAATCGTACCTTTTCATCTATTTCTCATCTTTTAACCAATCAACGAGGGGAGCCACTAGAGCATCTTTTTCCTGAGAGCTTATCTTCCTGAATGCTTTGGTAAGGATCCTTATCAAGTCTTTTGTAAATTCAACCAATGAGACCTCTACTGTCTGCACACTCATGGAATCTTTTAAAGAAATTCCTGGACTAGCTAGGCAGGACTTCTTTTTACACAAGTCACACTGAGTTTGCCCTTCGATGTGTATTTACCCAAATATCTTTTTCCATTCCTTATTACAACTTCTACTGTTCCTCCAGAAAATAAAGGGAAAAGATAAATGTTATCTGAGCTGCAGACAATGTTTGCTACTGCAAAGTCAAAACATCAAATTCTTCAGACTATATGATGAAAAAGTGTTATTTTTATTTATAGTTGATATGGCCCTGAACTGAAATAAAAATCAGAAAAATGAGACCAAAACACAGAGAAGCTATACAGCTTCCCTCAAACATCGATTGAGGACATTGTTCATTTATATGCTAGATTTTCCATTAACGCAAAGCATTCTGTGAATGCATGACAGTGCTGTTAAACTTTAGAAGTTTTAATGAATAAGTTGTTCACAGCTATGATAGAATTCAGTAATTTATATGCTTCCATTCCAAAGAGTTTTCACAAGTTCGAGACATCCACAAAGTGAACATGAGCTATGAGACCTGGGTCCCTACGTGCAGATGATGTATGTAGAACAGCCACAAAACCCTGCAATTAGTACATCCCACTTATTTTGTTGGTGGGCAGATGAGCACAGCATTCCTCCTGTTTGCTTTGGGTTCATGAGTAGATTTTGTTTTGCAGTTGGCCAAAGGGGTTTCACTCATGCACATTATTTAAATGAGAACTGAATAAACTTACATTTTAGACACAGAAATATGAGGAACTACTGTCTGGAAAATGAAAAAGCTTTATAAAAACCATATGGGAAAATCTGAAAGAGGCAGCTTATGTAATTGCATAGTTCTACAATGAATGAAGAGCAGAAACCCATAGCCTGATACATTCTCAAAGGTTTCCTTTTATAACTCATGTCTGCCCAAAGAAGATAGGGTACAGATGGGTAGAAATTGTGGTTTTTTCATTTAACAGAATTCTGGGATTCTGTGTTTTTTTTTGTTATTTTTTGTGTTTGTTTTTTTTTTCTTCCTTTTGAGATGGAATGAGAGCAAAAGATTTTAAAAATTTCTATGGTAAAGTGTGGGGAAATTATTATCCAATCAAAAGGTGTAATTTTGACAAAATCACTGTTTCAATTTGAATTTGAACTTCTTCAATTTTGGAAGGTTTTTTTGTTTTTTTGTTTTTGTTTTTGTTTTTTGTAAATTAAGCTCTTTTGAAATATGTTCCAAAGCTATTCCAAATGCCAAAATGCATCACTTTCAAAAATACCAGAATTATATATTTTGATCTTTCTAAATACTTTTCTTCTGCTTAGCTGTTCTAATAAAGCTTCCTTAGTTTCTGTAGTTGCAGGAAAGTCCCTCTACTGCTTCTCACTACTTCCCTCCCCCCCCAATAATCTTCCATCTAAAATATATGTGTCAGGGAAGATCTATGGCTGATTTCAGTCACAAAACTAAATCCATTAAGATTTAAGTGAGTAACTGCAGGACGCAGTTTCAGTATAGCTACCTTGCAGGACTGTAAGTATGGCTCTGGAAAGCTCTTAAAATTCTGAAATCACTGAGGAAAAGACAAACCTCTGGATGCAAATAAGGCTGGTGCTGCAGAAGTTTCCTAGCAGAAAACAACCATGTATTATACAAATTGTAATTTGTGTGTGTGCACGTGTGAATGTTTGCATATATACAAGACATTAGAGTAAAAAATTTTGTTGGTTAAATTAGGTAGGTTGCACCAGAAGTAATGCCTCCTATTTATTTCTGTCTGACACTACAATAGATACAAAGTGCACAATAAAACTATTTGATAGAACAAATTCTCAGCTACAAGATGCTATTTTTCCACACAGTCACCACCATTAGGTATGCATTTTGGCCACTGATGAACAAGAGCTCTTCATTTTGTGGTGTGACAACTATGCATTTCCATCCAGAATGTGTCTTGTCTTTCACTACTCTGTCACCACTGCTGAAATGCACCACCCACTGTCTCACTATGTTTGCAGCCACTGTTTGGTCTCCATTAATGTTCAGTAAG